TTACTCATTAATAGTTAATGAATTACTAATAGTGTATAAATGATTTTGAGTGTTGGTTATACATTATTTAGTAAACATTGACAAATGTCAATGTTTAAAGATTCTAAAATGTTCTACAATGTTATTATACATTTTATAATCATTTACTAAGGCATATAGATAGCTTGTAAATGATTTGTAACTTTTCTACAAATAGAATATAAATAAAGTATAATTTTAGTTACAAATGATTTATTAATCATTTACAAATGTATATAAATGGTTTATTCATGATTAGTTTACTACTTACTAATGCCTTAAAGGGGCCATGGCATGAAAAACTGACTTTGTTAACGGGAGGGGGGGTGCATATCAGGGATAGAAAACCGCTACAATCCCCCCAAGTTCGAAAAAATTCCATCTAGCAATTTTTTAGTTATCTCCGTATTTAGGAACTGTGTGCTCAGAGCCGGCCATTCTGAAAACTCCATTGACAAGACGTCATGTCAGTGCTGGCGGGTTGATAGCACTGCCCATGGAGCCACCCACTGCCCTGCCCACAAAATTATCAAAACAGCGCCATTATTCCTGGCTGCTCGCTCACATTGCTCCGGTTAGAACCATGGCGAAAGTACGATCTGAAAAAGAGGCAGCATTTGCTCTGTTGTTGGCTTCACAAACGAGCACAAAACTCTTTTGAAAACTCCCTCGTCAGAGGATTTGAGGACTCAATGGGTGGATTTTATTTATAATGGAAATGTACCCGCGACACTTCCAAAATATCTGTACGTATGTGTGCACCATTTCACTTCGGACTGTGTAAGAGCAGATTTACGGTTAATTATTGTGTGTCATAACTGTGACAGGTCAGCCTATATAGAGTGGGAACCTTTGGAGGCTCGTCAGGTGTTTCCTACCGGAGCGAGGGGAAACAGTTTTTGACCGCTGACGCTGACGCGGACGCTGCCGCTGCCGTATGTTTTGAAATGTTTGTGTGAGAGTGTAAATCAAAGCATTGATGTCAAATAAATGGGCTTGTTTGCATCTTAAACACCGATCAACTGGACTCTCATTCATCCGCAAGGTAGAGTAACAGCGCGTCAAGAAGGTTTCCTGTATGAAATACCTCAGTAGCTTAAAGCGTGGCTTAGCTTCTACAATATCAAGTCAAAAACTGTTGGAATAAGTCGACAACATTTGATGGAGACTGAAGTTGGACTTTTGTCGCGTATTGGTGTTAAACGCGAAGAAAAGTTTGAAGTTGGACTTGTTGCGTCGGGGGACGCGAGGAAAAGTAAGCCGCGGCGTTGACTTTGGGTGAAGCTCGGCGCATCAGCTGAGCGTCAGCTGCTCACCCGCCGGTGAGGAGAGGACAGAGGACAGTGAGGAGTAGCGAGTGAGCAGGGGCCGGTGAGGAGGCGCCGGGAGGAGAGAGCCACGAGGAGGACGCCGGGAGGAGAGACGCTGGTGAGGACGCCAGTGAGCTTCACATGGTCACAGCCTTCAGAAATGGGTAAGGTAGCGCTACCACTAATAAAAGATGGCCATCTAAATTTAAAAGTGTGCACACGAATGAGCGCGTAATTCCAATTGGTTGCCGAATTGAAAAACATTTGACTGGATTTAATAGACATGTTCTGACTGTCGAACTTTAAATGGAGGACTTGGAGACTAATCGGGAAACATCTTCGGGTGTCTGCGCGCCAGTTGCTGAAAGCAAACCGGGCTCTGCGGCCGCTGGCAGTAGCGACACACGGACAAGCCAAAGAGTAGTTAAGCTTTCCGTTAAAGGTCTCGCAGACAAGATCGACCGACTACAAAATACTAAACAAAGCAAGCGCTTTAAGGAAATCAATTCAAGGGTCTATGCAATGCATTAAAGTGTCTGAGATAAAAAAAATCTCTACATGGGTTTATTGAACTGTGTGATGAAATAAGATGTTTGCATGATTCTTTACTGATTTTGTTGCCACATGAGGAAAAAGGAAGGCAGGAAACAAGGCTAAAATGATGTTCAATGATGAATTTATTGATGAAGTTGAAATGTGGGTGAAATCAAATGAAAACCAGGTGTCTGAAACTGAGAATAATGTTGACAAAGGTGTTGAAAATGATGATGTAAATCCTAACAACAGTATTTCTAATGTGGGTAAAAATTCAAACAAAAGTTCTACCAGTCACAGGTCAAGTGCTGCTTCCTCTGTAAAAATAAAAGCAGCAGCAGAAAGAGCTGCAGTCATGGCTCGGTTGGCGGCCTTAAAGGAACAACATGCCTTGGAGGAACAAGAGCAAAAAATAAAAAGGAAAAAGCAACAGCTGGAATTGGAGACAGAACTTGCTGCATCTGATGCTATGGTGGCAGTTTTGCAAGCTATGGATGGACAAAGGCTCTCTCAGGCACCAACAGATGGTATGGACTGAAAAGCAAGTGGATTCATCAATGCAACAAAATCAAAGGCACTCAATGGATTTGCAAACAAAGCACAATAAAAAATCTGTGGAAACATCACAAGGTTTGCTGCATGATCAAACAACTGCTTGGGTGACACAAAACAGTCAACACTTGAATCATGGACAAAATGATCAGACTCCTCTGGGTGATATTGTGAGAATTATGTGCAAACAAAATGAAATCACAGCCTCTTTGGTGAACCAACAACGCCTGCTTTGTCTGCCACCACGTGACATACTGTCTTTGAGGGTGATCCATTTCAATACAAAGCCTTCATAAAATCGTTCGAACAAGGAGTGGAGGTCAAAGCTAGTAAGGCTGATTGCTTGTATTACTTGGAACAATTCACCAGAGGGCAACCAAGAGAACTAGTCCAAAGTTGTCAGCACATGGATCCTGAACGTGGCTTCATTGTGGCAAAGGGTCTGCTTCATGAACATTTCGGTAATGAGGACAAAATTGCTAACGCATACATTGAAAAGGCTTTAACCTGGCCAGCAATAAAGTCAGAGGACGTTAAAGCTTTGCAAGCCTACAGTTTGTTTCTCCGTGGATGTTGTAATGTGATGGAAGAGCTTCCTCCTATGCAGGAAATGGACACGCCAAGCAATATGAAAACAATAGTTTGTAAATTGCCATATAAATATCGTGAAAAGTGGAGAACTGTTGCCCATGATATAATGGAAAAATACGATCGGAGGGCGCATTTCGATGATGTTGTTGCGTTTTTGGAGAAGCAAGTAAGGATTCTCTCTGATCCAATTTTTGGAAACATTGAACCACCTGTATCACAGAATGTAACTACTTCAAACTACTTCAAAATGCAAGCAAAACCACTCAGAGGGAAAGGAAGTAGTTTTGCCACTACAGCAATGGCTGTCAATGCATCTGAAGAAAATGCTCACACAAGCAATGCAAACAAACAGGACCTTTTGTATTGTTCTTGCTGTACACATGCTCACCTCTTGGAAAAATGCCAACAGTTCCAAAGTAAAAAACACAGAGAAAAGATCCGGTTCCTAAAGGAAAAAGGAATATGCTTTGGTTGTTTAAAGGTTGGACACATGAGCCGCGACTGTAAGAAACGCTTGATCTGCGAGGTTTGTGATCAACAACATCCTACTGCACTTCATATTCCAAAGACCAATGTTGAGTTGCACCGTACATGTGAGCCACCTGAAAGAAAATCCATCCACTTCTTCCCAAGTATGTGGACGCACAGGGGCGTTCCATTCTCTCCATTGTCCCAGTGCAGGTCAAATCTACAAAAGGAAATGAAATTATTCAGACATATGCATTTTTGGATCCTGGGAGCACAGCCACATTTTGCTCTGAACACCTTATGCAATGATTGAACATCACAGGGAAAAGAACAAGTTTTCTTTTGAAAACGATGGGACAGGTAAAGGTTGTTCCCACTTTTGTTGTGTCTGGAATGGAGGTCGCAGATCTTTCAGGAAAAAGTTTTTACGCTTTGCCTGAGATGTTCACTCAAAGGGAGATGCCAGTCGATCAAGACAACATTGTCACTGCTGCTGACTTGGAACAGTGGCCTTATCTGTCCAAGGTGCACATCGCTTCCATAAAGGCCAATGTGGACCTGCTGATAGGAACTAACGCTCCCAGGTTACTGGAACCATGGGAAGTGGTGAATAGTTGTGGATCCGGTCCATACGCTATAAAAACAGTGTTGGGCTGGGTAATCAATGGTCCTTTAAATGGAAACTGCAGGGATGATGAAATGAAGCACTCCTCTGTTGTGGTGAATCGGATTTCAGTGTCCAATTTGGAAATCATGCTGAACAATCAGTACAATCATGATTTCAATGAACGGCCTTCAGATGACAAAGAGATGTCTAGAGATGTCTAGAGATGTCTGGAATTTTCTGCAACTCTACAGGAACAGAGATACTGCCTTAAGTTGCCCTTCAAGAGACCAGGGGCCTTATGTATCAACGCTGACGGCGCCAGAAAACCTTGGGTCCGCCAAGATCGGGGCAAACGTCCAGATTTATCATCGCGACACGAGCGTCGGTTCCAGCGCTAATCAACGCAAAGTGAGGAGGTGGTGTAGAAGTTGGCGTTGAGCCGATACTTGCGTTGACGGCACTTTGGCGACGCTGTGTGGCGGTGTTTGGTGACTCACTGTGTGACAAGCGTGCACCACATCCCCGTGGCCGAGCAGCACGTCGCCCCACATTACGAACCAGCAGCAGACGGAGGGATGCGAGCTGATCCCTGCCGGGCCACCGTCCTCGCGCGGGAGAATCTCATCGCCACAATGTGAATGGGTAAGAAGTGAATACACAGTTCAATGAGCCAAATTAATTTATTTTCGCCACCAGACGCTCGAGGACATTTACGAGGCGGTCCAGCCGCTCGTTGATCCCCGCAATCCCCCTGATGATTTCTTCCTGCGATTGCAGGACCGCCTCTGTGAGGACCCTTCCACTGCGTCCGGGTGGTCCAGCTGAAGCGCCACGGCTGGGGGATGCTCCACCGCTTGTCGGTGCGCTGGTGCTGATGCTGGCCTGAATGCCGCTGGTCCTGGCCGACGACTCCGAGCCGGCGGATGGGCTGCCACGGGCAGGGTTCCGAAAGCCGGCCACACGGCCGACACATTGATTTCTGTGACACAATAAAAATATTGGTTCATTTCAATTCCTGCTTCTGTGTATCTGTTGCGTTTACATCTCTCTCCACAGTATCATAGGTAATGTAATCCAGTATTTAGAGGTCAGTTGTGCACATTACAGTTGTTTATTGCATAAAAAGTTATCGAAAAATGAAGTTAAGGGCGAAGTATAAATCACGTCTAAAAATAGACTGAATCCCGACGTTGAAATGAAGTATAAACTTAGACTAGACGTCTAATATACGTCTTTTGCTCAGTGGGATGGCAAAGCATGTGGACAGTTGTGTGACACGCCACTTACCGTATAATAATAATCGCCACCACCCGCTGCTTAAACGGCGTGAGGGTCTCCTCCCCCGGAACCCCACCTGTCTGGCCGGTACTCCTCCGGAGGGCAGCTGTACGCCGCTTGACCTCCACCTTGAGGTCCGACCATTTTTTTTTTAAATCTCCGCGGGGGTGCTTGTCTCGGAACCCACCGCGTTCACCCTCTCGCAAACTTTCTCCCACTCCAAGCGTTTTCGTTTTGCACTGATCTGGTGGCCGGAGTGAGACCTCAGCAAAGAACTAGCAGTTTACAGGATGACAGTGCAAATGTTTGGGGCTGTGTCCTCACCCAGTTGCGCTAGTTACGCGCTGAGGAAAACTGCTGATGATAACAGCTCTGATTTTTCTGCAGAAACTGTTCAAGCTGTTCAACAAAACTTTTATGTCGATGACTGTTTGCTGAGTTTGAGCTCTGAGGAAGCGGCAAAGCAACGGGTCAAAGAACTCAGTGCTCTCTGTCAGAGAGGTGGCTTTGTCTTGGAGAAGTGGGTGAGTAACAGCCGTTCAGTGCTGAAGAGCATTGCTGAAGATCAGAGGGCAAAGGATCTAAAGGAGCTTGATCTGGACAGAGACAAACTTCCCATTGAGAGAGTTTTGGGTCTGCTCTGGTGCGTCGAGTCAGACTCATTTAAGTTCAAGATGGAGGTCAAACAGCAGTCTCTAACCCGACGGGGGATGTTGTCTACAACCAGCTCTGTATATGATCCTCTGGGATTTCTGTCGCCAGTCACTCTGTCTGCTAAGATGCTACAACAGGAGCTGTGCAATAGAAACTGTGGATGGGATGATGCAATACCACCAGACATTTTACAGCAATGGGAGGTGTGGTTACAGGAGGTCACACTATTGTCATCATTCAAAGCTGAACGCTGTTTAAAGCCAGAAAACTTTGGAGAACCCATATGTAGCCAACTGCATCATTTTGCAGATGCCAGCAAAGATGGCTATGGCACTGTAAGCTACATCAGACTGAAGGACACCAGAGGTGAGGATCATGTTACATTCCTTTTGGGCAAAGCCAGAGTCACACCTTTAAAGGCTGTAACGATCCCAAGATTGGAATTGACTGCTGCAGTCCTAGCTGCCAGAGTGGATGCCATGCTAAAGGCCGAGCTTCAAGTCCAGCTGGGTGAGTCTGTGTTTTGGACGGACAGCACATCAGTGTTGAAATACATCAATAATGAAAATAAGCAGTTCCACACATTTGTGGCCAATAGGATCTCAGCCATACGAGAAATCTCAAGCCCTGCTCAATGGAGGCACATCGGGACCAAAGACAATCCAGCCGATGCTGCATCACGGGGGATGAAGGTATCAGACTTTTTGAAAAATCAAAGCTGGTTGGAGGGGCCCAGTTTTCTCTGGAAGTCTGAGGCAGATTGGCCAGTGAGTAATCTTGATGTCAGGATGGATTCTGATGATCCAGAGGTCAGGAAGGAGGCCTATGTGAATGTCACTGTTCATGATGCACTGAATGCCATAGACCATCTCATAAATTACTTTTGGAGCTTCAATTCTCCGGCCGGGTCTCATCATGGCGGAGTTTGGGAACGCATGATACGCATAGTCAGACGTGTTCTAAACTCAGTTCTACACCAGCAGACACTTGATGATGATGGGCTTAACACTGTCATGTGTGAGGTTGAAGCTATTCTTAATGATCGTCCTATTGCACCGCTGTCTGATGACCCAAATGACTTGGAGGTGCTCACTCCCAACCATATTCTCCTTCTGAAAGGAAAACCAGCCTTACCACCAGGACTTTTCAAACCATCTGACATGTATGTGAAGCGGCGCTGGAGACAAGCTCAATACATCTCGGATTTGTTTTGGAAGCGTTGGATCCAGGAATATCTGCCCCTACTGCAAGAAAGACAGAAGTGGAACCAGAGGAAAAGGAGTCTGGGTGTTGGAGATGTTGTTGTCATTATGGATCCCTCAGCTCCTCGTGGGTCCTGGCTTCTTGGGAAAGTGTTGGAGATCTTTCCTGATGCAAAGGGGATGGTGCGTTCTGTGAAACTGCAGACTAAAAATAGTGTTATTGAGAGACCTGTGACTAAAGTTTGCCTGGTAAAAGAAGTGTAAATTGACATTTTCGTGCTCTTATGATTGTCTGTATTGAATTGCCATGTCTGCCGGCCATGACACTTAGGGGCCGGTGTGTAAGAGCAGATTTACGGTCAATTATTGTGTGTCATAACTGTGACGGGTCAGCCTATATAGAGTGGGAACCTTTGGAGGCTCGTCAGGTGTTTCCTACCGGAGCGAGGGGAAACAGTTTTTGACCGCTGACGCGGACGCTGCCGCTGCCGTATGTTTTGAAATGTTTGTGTGAGAGTGTAAATCAAAGCATTGATGTCAAATAAATGGGCTTGTTTGCATCTTAAACACCGATCAACTGGACTCTCATTCATCCGCAAGGTAGAGTAACAGCGCGTCAAGAAGGTTTCCTGTATGAAATACCTCAGTGGCTTAAAGCGTGGCTTAGCTTCTACAGACTGTTTTATCAACGAGGGACAATTCAACGCTGGATTTGCTAGATGTCTGAAGTTTAAGAATGGATCGGTACCAACAATCCGTGATCCTACTACAAACGTGGCATCTGTAAGTGTGAACATTTTATTTTGACTTACTGTTTAGCCTAAATTCCCCCCGATGCCTCAGCACAGCCACCACGCTTTGATAAACACACCGGATCCGCGACGGTTTACCGGATCCTTCTGTATTTTAGCCGCTCGCTTCTTCCCCGACAACTCCGGCGGCAGGGGACAAAATCCCCCTCCAGAGCAGCATGTAGCTCTAGCATTTACCCGTGCGGTTCTTTTGGCTCAAATACGGGACGTCCCGGCTAATGCGGGACGGTCGACCATCCTATTAATTAGCAAAGGCTTCAGAGAAGTTTTAGAGCACCAAAATCTTACATTGTAGCAGAGCTCTGGTTGAAATTTTTTCTACATTCATATCTTCCTCCTTAAGCATGACCCTCCTGGCCGCTTTGAATAATACATAGGGTGTGTCGACTAGGTCGCTTCAAGTCGCGTTTGGTCTGAACGCGGCTAAGAGTTTCTTCCGGAGCCTCTCCCGCTGGGTCAGACTCTGGCTCAAACTGGTAGGGTTGTACGAGTGATCTACTTGCAGCCATGACCGAGCCAGTGTAAACATTAGCACATGGCTATCGGAGCACATCCACAGCCCCTTCCAGTGAGATGGGTGTAAAGTGAACGTGGCTTAGGTGCAGTTCATTTCATTAAAGAGACTTGGCCCAAAACGCAGGATTTTGAACGGAACTGTTTTTAGCTGATAAAAAGAGCACTAAAATAATTGATCCAAATCGAATTTTGACTGAAGGACGTCACAGACATGCTTTTAACACATCAGGGGACTATTTTAAGTTGTGTGAAATTGGCATGCCATGGGACCTTTGATAATAACATATAAATGATGTTTAAACGGTTTGTAAATGTTTAGTTATACACTTACAAATGTCAATAAACAGTTTGTTCATGTTTACTGGTCATCTACAAACTGCTTATAAATGTTAATAAATACTTTATAACAGGTCGTTATCGTAAAGTGCTACCCATTCTTCTACGCTGGGGTTGCTCAGGGTGAGAGGCAAGGGATTTTTGCTCACCACAAGGCTCTCTGCCTGTACGTTGGGGTTCTCCCGGTTGGACGAAAGGGTTGCTTCCCTGCGCCTCCAGGTCAAGGAACAGGTCCTGACTGTTGTCTGTGCTTATGCGCCAAATGACAGTTCAGAGTACCCACTCTTTTTGGAGACCCTAGGACGGATGCTGGACAGCGCTCTGACTGGGGATTCCATTGTTCTACTGGAAGACTTCAACGCTCATGTGGGCAATGACATCGAGACCTGGAAGGGCGTGATTGGGAGGAACGGCCTGCCCAATCTGAACCCAAGTGGCGTTCAGTTGTTTGACTTCTGTGCAAGTTGCAGTTTGTCCATAACTAACACCATGTTCAAACATAAAGTTGTTCATGGGTGCTCCTGGCACCGTGATGGCCTAGGCCGTAGGTCAATGATCGACTTTATAGTCTTATCATCTGATCTGCATCAGATGATCTGCCGCATGTTTTGGACATTTTGAAGAGAGGTGTAGAGCTGTCAACTGATCACTACCTGATGGTAAGTTGGGCCAGGAGGCGGGGCCTGCCAGGGGCGCAGACCTGGCAGGCCCAAACATATAGTGAGGGTATGTTGGCCTGGTGGAAGAACCCGTCAGGTTGGCTTTCAACTCCCACCTCCAACAGAGATTCAACTGCGTCCCGAGGGCGGTGGGGGACATTGAGTCCGAATGGGCTTTGTTCCTCTCTGCTATTGGCGAAGTGGTTGTTGCGAGCTGCAAGGTTGCTGGTGCTGGTCGTGGCGGTAATCCCCGAACCCAATGGTGGACGCCAGAGGTGAGGGGAGCCGTCAGGCTGAAGAAGGAGGCCTACAGGTCATAGCTGGTCTGTAGGTCTCCAGAAACAGCTGAACGGTATTGGTTGGCTAAGGGGTCCATGGCCAGGGCAGTTGCAGGATCAAAAACTCTGGTGTGGGAGGAGTTTGGTGAGGCCATGGAGGAAGACTTTCAGTCAGCTCCAAAAAGGTTCTGGCAAACTGTCCGGCCTCTCAGGGCGGCAGACGGCAACTTGCCCACACTGTTCTAGATAGAGGCGGGGAGCTACTGACATCACCTGGGGCGATACTACGGCAGTGGTAGGAAAACTTTGAGGAGCTTCTCAATCCTACCGACATGCATTCCCAAGGGTCAACAGAGTTGGAGGACCTGGATGAGGATTGTCCAATCACTGGGGTCGAAGTCGCCGAGGGAGTGAAACAACTCCATGCGGGTGGAGCTCTGAGAGCGGCTGAGATCCATCCAGGGTATCTGAAGGCTCTGGATGTGGTGGGGCTGTCCTGGCTGACACGCCTCTACAACATTGCATGGAAATCGGGGGCAGTGCCCTTGGAGTGGCAGACCAACTATAGTGTGATTCCAACTATAGGGGGATCACACTCCTCAGCCTCCTTGTGAAAGCTTACGCCAGGGTGCTGGAAAAAAGGGTCCAATCGATAGTTGAACCTTGGATAAAGGAGGAACAATGCGGTTTTGGTCCCCATCACAGAAGTACGGATCAACTCCTTACCCTCGCTAGGGTTCTTGAGGGGAGATGGGAGTTTGCCCAACCAGTCCACATGTGTTTTGTGGAGTTGGAGAAGGCCTACGACCATGTCCCCAGGGGAATCCTGTGGGGGGTGCTCCGGGAGTACGGGTTGGATGGTTCCTTGTTCAGGTCCATCCAGTCCATTTACCAAAGGAGCACGATCTTGGTCTGTGTAGCCGGTTGTAAGTCGGACTCGTTCCTAGTGAGAGTTGGACTCCACCAGGGCTGCTCTTCATCACCGGTTCTGTTCATAACCTTTATGGACAGAATTTCTAGGTGCAGCCAGGGTTGGAGGATATCCAGTTCTAGCTTTGTCGAGCAGTGACCTTCAGCTCTTGCTGGGGTGGTTCACAGCCAAGTGTGAAGCGGCTGGGATGCAGATGCTTAACTGATCTGTCATGGTCAAGAAAGAGCTGAGCCATAAAGCGAGACTCTGGATTTACCAGTCGATCGACGTGCTGACCCTCACCGATGGTCATGAACTTTGGGTAATGACCAAAAGAACAAGATTGCGGATACAAGCGGTCAAAATGGGTTTCTTCTGCAGGATGGCCAGGCTCAGCCTTAGAGATAGGGTAAGGATCTCGGACACTTGGGAGGCGCTCAGAGTTGAGCCACTGCTCCTCCACATCAAGTCACAGTTGTCACAGTGTACGCCAGAGAATCTCTTCTTTGGTACGGTTGTTGCTGAACTTGAGCACGATGGAACGGGGTTTTGTATTCGGGGCATTGGGCTTCAGTGCCAGAGCTTGATCAGCTCGTTCAATCCCAAGATCCTTTTCACTGGGAATGTAGAGGGAGTTTTATTTTTTTAATTTTGTCCAGAAAACCAACTATGTCAGTGCCCTCTTTTCCTTCAGGTAAATCCTTAGATTTTCTATCCTGGCACGAGCCTCCTGGTCCACCAATCTTGCCTCCATATAAAGCATTGATGTTGACTGAAGCATGTTCTCAGTTTCACTAAACCTCCCCTCAGCCTCATCCAGTCTGTCATTGGTTCTTTTGATTTCGTGTTTGATGTCGGCAAGCTGTCCCAGGTTGTCATTTCTGAACTCTCTGAGTTCATTAAGGTTTTTTTTCAAGTTGGCCTCTGGGCTTTTCTTCGCCATGTGAGTTCAGAGAGTTGCTTTGCTTTGCTTTGCTTTAATCCAGGATCGTTTTCCGTTGTGTTTGTAGTCGTTCTACTTCTAGTATGTGCCCCTTTCTCCATTGTTACAGAAATTGTTCACTGCTTTTCCAAAAAGAGGATTTAAAGGGGTTGTTTAACATAAACGTCTGGGAGCTCGAAAATTAAGCAGCCATCTACTCAGGTGCAGAACCGGAAACTGCCCCTCAGGAGAGACATTAAAAGATTAGAACATTTATTTGACAATTATTAGAATGATGCTTGACGTAAAGTCTTTGGCCTTCAGACTCAATAGAGTGATATGGGAGATCGTAGGATGCTTGATCTGTGCGACAGCAAAAAAATCCCCCCAAAAGAAAGGCTCAGGCCTTCTTATAAAGCACGGCTGAATGAACACCCCCCAAGAGTGCTTACTTACCGGGATAGTGGTGGGACACCATGAAAATGAGCGAGGACAGTAACTTGTTTAAATGAACAAATGGGTTAGAATGAAATTCACCTTCAGGCTGACAATGTTAAATCGCTCAGATTGAAAGAAAAAAAAACTTTAACACATTTGAACACATTTTACTTAGTGCGGTTTGAGGATGATATATGATTGTGATGATGCGTAGCTCAGCGGTTATGAGGTGTGCTGCGTTTATGATGATTTATAGCTCAGTGGCTATGAGGTGTGCTACGTTTGTGATGATGCTTTGCTCAACGGCTAAGAGGAGTGCTGCATTAAGGTTGAAGAGCACTGGAACATGGTGGAAAGCTCGACTGTTTAGGATTTCTTGAGCTCTTCCTGAGATCCTGAGATGAGAACAGGTTAGGGAGAAAGCAAGAAAATTAAGCACTTAATTGATCATAATTAATTTGTGAGAGATTTGGTTAACTACTAGGACCTCGGGTAACAGGGTATAAAACTTCACAACTTTCTACTCCTAAATTTATTCATATATAGATTTTTTTTCAGTGAATGAAAACCACCAACCACCAGTGGAAATGCTTACCATGTGCTGTCAAGGCTTTAGAGATTTTTGCACATGGATGATGGCAGCAGAATCTGGACGCACATGGAATGAGTAGGTAAAAGAGGACCAGCGGCCTAGTTGCTGCAGAGAAGCAGGTAATAAACCTTTCATGGCTGCTGAGGTCACTGCACAGATTCTGAATGAATGGCCAGAGTGGTGCTTTTGGGATATATTACATCTTGAGAGTGTTTGTTCTTATTGGGAACTAAACCATGATTTGGACATTAGATTATTATCTGGAGTCAGAAAGAGAGGTGACGGCGAATGGGGGCAAGGCCTTTTTTTTTTTTTTTTTAATATGCACATTGACTTATAAGAATAGCATCCTGAGCTGATTTGGGCGATTATTATGGAACATGCGACTCCTGCTTTTGAGTGTTTGAAGAAAAGACTGAAACAATCCGGATGAACAGTCAGATCTGAGAAGGCCACTTGTTTAGCTGGATCTAATGAATTGGACAATGTGATAAATTCCCCATTTCTTGAAAACCCATAGAAAGCTAGACGAAAGGAACAGTCAACATAGGCAGAAAAACAGCCGCTGTTGACTGTACTGAGAGTATTTTGTGCAATACCAAAAGAGTAATTGGAAGTCTATTGTCACCAATAAGAGGGGAAACTTTAGCCATTCCTTTAAACAGTAATTATCAAACAGACTAGGGAATTCTGGATTGGAACATTTAGCTTTAAACTGGATGCCTGTGACGAGACAGCGTGTGTATTTAAGTTTGAAGTGACGCACATCTTTGCAATGACAGATGAAGGCGCAAACTACATTAACGGTGATAGGTTGTAGTGGAACAGACATGAAAAAGCAGGATAATGCGTCAGCAGTAACATTGACGTGACCTGATGCATTACAAACAGTGATTATAAAGTATTGATTTACTGATAGCCACATTATGTATCTCATGTATGCCATGATTTCAGAACCAGAGGAGTGACTTTTATTGATGATGCTCACTAGTGCCTCATCGTCTCTCTGCACTTCAATGCATTTGCGTTTCCAGGATTTTCCCCACACATGACATGCAACGGAAATGGGGTAATTCTCGGACAGAGCGGAGGACAGATTGAGCTTTTGAAAGGAGAGAGGCCATTTTTGGGCAAACCATTTGCTTTGGAAATACCCCCAAAGCCTACTGAGGGCATGGCGTCTGTGAAAAACTGAATGGAATCAGATGAATGGACCAAATCATCATAGAATAAAGAAACACCATTCCACTGAGACAGCAGACTTGACCAAAATTTTAGGTCGGAGGGGCAGCCATCATCAACTGGGAAGATGTCATGCAGATTGGGCACTGAGGAGGCCATGACCAGCAGTCTGGAAATAAAGGAGCACCCCTGGGGAATGATGTGCATTGTAAAAGTTCAGTGACCAAGGGGGGAAAGCATTTCCTGCTTAGTGACTTCTTCAGAGGCAGTGAATGAGTTGCAGATTGATGGATTGATGACGGATGCGCTGTAATTTTTCTAATGGCAGAGAAACTTTCATCTCGACGGAGTCGAGTGAAATGCCTAGGAATTTGAGGCAAGTGGCCAGGCCGATTTGATTATTTAAGGAGATTGTCTAGAAAGTGAAGCAGAGATGGAATGCAGACTTTTTAAAAAAGGATTTAACACAGATCTTACACAACCTTATCAAATATAGATGGACTACTCTTACATCTGAATGTGAGGCGCATGGTGAAATACAGTTTGGATTCCCATATCAGACCAAACAGATGCCACTGTGAAGGATGAATTGGGATTATTTTGAATGCGTCAGTGATGTCAGCATTGGAGAGCCACGCATGTTGGCCACCGAGCTCGATGAGTTTCATGGCGTTGTCTATGGAGGAGTGGTGAAGAGAGAATAGCTCTGATGGGATGAAACTGTGAGTTTTTGGATGGGCCCGTTGTGAGGAGCGGAGAGTTAGAATACTAATATTTTCTTTCTGGAGTACTTTCTAGTTGCTACTCTTTAAGGACTCGAGCGAAAAACTGTGAAAGGTGAAGACGTGTAGGGACTGATTAAATAGCCTTTATCCAATTTATTTTTTAGAAACTGAGAGACAATTTGAGGTTAAGTAATGGATGACTGGGGTTTTTACACCAGTAAAAAGAGGCCAGAGAACGTGCGACCCCTACCCGAAACCCCTGGGATAGACCAGACAGAATCAGGGTGGGAAGACAGTTTGGATGCCAGTGCTGGAATGTTTATTGGAGTGGATGGATGGGTTACCACTAAGTCTTTGAACCACAATGGTTCTGCTGAGGTCAGTATCTGTGAGGACACACCAACTTTAGATGGGCATCTTTGCATTGGCTGCAAATATAAAGAAAAGTGCAGTTGGGGTAAGTACACATATTTTTCATTAAAATTATTGCAGATAGGTTTGTTGTTGAACTGGAACTCCTTTTGGCCATGGCGTCTCTTTTTTCTCTCATGTAAGGTGTAAGATCAGATGGGGTTATAGTTTTTGATTCTAAAACGGCTTGGGAGTCTCCCGCTAGCATGACCAACGGTTCTGTGTCCATAATTGACCAGTTCAGACGGGTGTTTGAATGAGTGATGAGCAGAGCTGCCTTACTTGGGAAACAGTGATAAAAGAAGAAGAAGAAGTGAAATTCAATACTTCAATTGAATACCTGAATACCTCAAATTCAATTACCTCCATATCTTAAATTACAGTTTTTCTCAGTCGCTTTGGTACATTTCTCGAATCATCCTCGACATTTGCAAAACAGTAAGTGCATTTCTCAAAACAATTTGTACAAATAGCAAAACACCATGGATTACCTGCAAAAGCCAGTCTCTTGCTCAAAATCCTTAGCACATCTCTCAAAAGTAAATATCTGTGTCAATGAACATGTCAGTGCCATCAGAATGACAAGTCCTTGTGTCATTGTGTACGGATAAGACAGTCAAATTGCTTAGTCATGTTGTCAGTATAACAGTGTACTCTGGAGGGATGTTCTGATATAAACTATGGCTAAAGTTTTGATGACAATCATTGTAAATTGTAAGTTACACCTCAGTGTATGTGGGAGATTGATTGCAAGAGACTGTAATTTGATGACAGACCGTGTCATTGCGATACAGAAAAGAAAAAAAAAACATTGCAGAGCACAATAAAAAAAACAAAAAAACAAAAGTAGAAATGTGAACATAGGACAATTTCCTTAGGGAAAACTGGAAATGCAGTGCTGTAGGCATTACAGTACAGTCTTCCTACACCTCCTGATGTTCCTGTCTGTTGGGCCACAAATTCTTATCCACAAAATTTCACTCATCCAAAATGTCAGTGTATATAGTATACTTACTGTATACTGTAAAATGAAAGTCGAATACTGCAATATTGTATGAGGCATCACAGAAAGTATACAGTATTACAGTACAGTGCCTATTGTTAGAATACATACCTGTTCTGTCAACAAAAAGTCTGAATGATTGAGGACAGAGTTGTTCTCCCAACATTTGGCTGCACCCTTCGGCCAGCCTCAGCCATTGTAAGCCCATGATTGAGAACGTGGTCTACAAGTGTAGCTCTTATTTCATCAGGAACGCGCATATGTCCTCTGCCTCTTCTGCCTCTTCCTCTGTTTTGCCTCCCAACTCCTCTGCCATGCAGCCTCACTCCTCTTCCTCTTCTTCTCTCTGGCTGTTGACCCCATCCAATTCCTTGTCCTTCCATTGTCAGACATTGTAACATTGTGTTGTGCTCCGGCAATATATATACTTGCCAGTTGATGGTTCATGAGACGCACCTTTGAGCTATTTCAGAAAAGTGGTTGATCATTGGTTGATCTAATGCTTCACCACATTTCCCACTGCTAGAGAAAGTCAAGATTCACCTGGGAGCAATTTACCAATTCAGGACAGATTCAGAAACGTCTAATGGAAATGTTTAGAAATATGCTTGACATATTATGACAGCTTGTTCAACCATTTTGCATGTAAAGACTTATGCAATGAACTAATGCCTAAATGTTGAGGGCGGTGAGACTATTCAACAGAGACCCATTATAATACATTTTGATCAACATGACATAAGCAATTGATAATGTAGAAAACAGCAGAAAATTGTACATAATCATTTGCATGGATGTACCAAAGCATTTGCAAGTTGTTCAAAGAAATGAGAAACTGCTTTTTTGATGTGCACAAGTGGCACAATGATGTGAAGACTGAACACATAGTTTTGAGAATTTCAATTCTGATCTGAGAAATGTACCAAAGCAACTGAGAAAAACTGTAAGATCGCCAATCAGTGACAGATAAGTGTCTAACTCTTGTCTGCGTTCAGGGTAGACAGAGCAGATTACATCTTTGTAAACGCCAAAAGCCACTACAAATTCTCCGATGGACATATTCCTTGCTAATCTGGGGTCGGTGGATTGTGGCTGCATTGTGGCATTCTTGAGATGGCAGTATGACTGCTAAAACCCACAGGATCCGTAACGGCTGCGATCTGATCCAGAAAGTCATGCAGCTCAATTACGCAAGCATTATAATCAATGTGTGTTCTTCCACACAATCTGTCTGCCGTCCGGCTCCATTGCGGAACAGCTCCGGGGGTCGGATCAGAAACGCAAGGCTTCTATTTTGCTGGACGCCACAGCACAGCGCATCAATTCAGTGCAGCACAGCACAAGCAGCAATGGAAGTTGTAGGTGGCTACAGAGTAAAATGGCCGGTCAAATTTCAAAATAAAATAAAGTCAATACATCAAACTGTTCTTCACTTGATAATAGAAGAGGCCAGGGTTGTGGGATGTGGGTGTTTATAAACCCCGCCATTCTCATTCAATGTCTTACGGGGACACACACGAGATCTCGCACGCCGTAAATTTAGTTTTTTTTGTCATTTGTCTGCGTGCGAGGACAGGGAGACCCTATTTAAATAAATCTGCATATTTATAGGAGGGCGTAACGGGGGCGGGCCTGGTCACTCCGACATCTGCGCTCAATTCCAAGCTGATTGGGATTTATCAAGGAAACACACGTGGCTTTCGGCGCCCGCACACCTTGATACATACAGATTTTTTTCAGCGTGACGGACCTTGCGTGCGCTCGTTTCTGGTATGAGTCCCACGCAAGTGTTGATACATGAGGCCCCTGGTGTGGAGAGGTGTGGCCAGCTGTATCTTCAGAGAGGTGGGTCAAGTGGGACTGGATACTGCTCTGTTTTTACTGGATCCTTAATTTTTTAAATTAAGCGGGATTCCTCCTTTTTATCAAAGTGTTTTTAAAGTGTGGGCTCTTTTTAGAAGCCCGAAGGAAAAAAACACCTCTGGCTCTGTTCTGGCTTCTGAAGGAACCCCTGATTCATGGAGCCAGACCGGACATCTCCAGTGGAGCCACGCCCGGGCTGACGGCGGCTCTGCTGAGAGCAAAAACTGTGGACCTTCAGCAACTGGTCCAAGCTGCAGGACCAGCCCTCAGCGACCACCAAGCTGTGAGGCGTGCGCTGGGCCTCTGGTCCAGCAGGATGGCAGAGAGGCTGCTCCAGCTGTGGAGGGGCAGACTGTCTCCTGAAGAAAAACGCCTCCTCCTACAGATGGAGTCTGGAACAGAACCAGACGACACAGACCCGTTTCCCGGCATACACATCAGCCCGGCAGGGGAGATGGAAGGCCCGCTGCTGAGGTCAATAGCTCTTCGCCTCAGCAGCACCAACGGGAAGAGCCTCTACAAGGCCTGCATACAAGTTTTAAATAAAAAGACTCTAGAAAAGAGAGCAACATGTGCATGGACTGAAATACTTGGAGATGATGCACCTCACTGGAGGATTCTGTACAAGGCGCCACTGAAAAAAAGAACTGGAGACCTCCAGTAGCGGATCCTCCACGGTGCAATTGCGTCGAATGCCTTGGTGTCGATCATCAACCCTGCTGTGTCCAACCAGTGCCCCTTCTGTAGCTCCAGAGAAAGGCTATTTCACATTTTTAATGACTGTAACAGACTTTCTGCATTTTTTACTCTTTTAACCAAGGTTTTTAGCTATTTTGGTCAGGTTTTTACACTTACTAATTTTATTTACGACACAGGCTACAACAAAAAAAACAGAAAAATGTGGCAACTCTTAAATTTTATTGTTGGAGAAGCAAAGATGGCAATTTACATTTCAAGGAGAAATAAAATTACAGGTTCCTCTCATACAGATGCAGTGGATGTGTGGCGTTCTAATGTTCGTCATAGAATCCAATTAGATTTTAGTTTTTTTTAAATGGTAAAAGACCTCAGGAGCTTCTCGGAAACATGGTGCCACGAGAACATCCTGTGCACAATCGCAACCAATGAATTATTCTTTTCAGAGGTGGTGAGAGATTGAGTTATTAGGGCCCGAGCCAGCTGCAAAGCAGCCAGGCGTAGGCCCTATTGTTTTTCGATGGGTTTTTCTTTCTTCTTATTTTTCCTCCCCTTTAAAGGGGAAAATGGCCCACTTCCCACTGGCGAAAAACTCATGAAATTTGGCAGGAAGACCGGGGGCCTCATGTATCAACACTTGCGTGGGACTCATACCAGAAACGAGCGCACGCAAGGTCCGTCACGCTGAAAAAAATCTGTATGTATCAAGGTGTGCGGGCGCCGAAAGCCACGTGTGTTTCCTTGATAAATCCCAATCAGCTTGGAATTGAGCGCAGATGTCGGAGTGACCAGGCCCGCCCCCGTTACGCCCTCCTATAAATATGCAGATATATTTAAATAGGGTCTCCCTGTCCTCGCACGCAGACAAAATGTTTGGCAGCCTGTCCAGTGGCGTCAGTGCTAAACGAAAACGCTTGGAGTGGGAGAAAGTTTGCGAGAGGGTGAACGCGGTGGGTTCCGAGACACGCACCCCCGCGGAGATTTAAAAAAAAATGGTCGGACCTCAAGGTGGAGGTCAAGCGGCATACAGCTGCCCTACGGAGGAGTACCGGCCAGACAGGTGGGGTTCCGGGGGAGGAGACCCTCACGCCGTTTGAGCAGCGGGTGGTGGCGATTATTATTATAGGGTAAGTGGCGTGTCACACAAATGTCCACATGCTTTGCCATCCCACTGAGCAAAAGATGTATATTAGACGTCTAGTCTAAGTTTATACTTCATTTCAACATCGGGATTCAGTCTATTTTTAGACGTGATTTATACTTCGCCCTTAACTTCATTTTTCGATAAGTTTTTATGCAATAAACAACTATAATGTGCATAACTGACCTCTAAATACTGGATTACATTACCTGTGATACTGTGGAGAGAGATGTAAACGCAACAGATACACAGAAGCAGGAATTAAAATGAACCAATATTTTTATTGTGTCACAGAAATCAATGTGTCCGCCGTGTCGCCGGCTTGCGGATCCCCGGCTTGCGGCAGCCCGTCCGCCGGCTCGGAGTCGTCGGCCAGGACCAGTGGCATTCGGGCCACCCCGGCCCCAGCACCAGCACCAGCACCAGCATCAGCACCAGTGTGCCGACAAGCGGTGGAGCGTCCACCAGCCACGGCGCTTCCGCTGGACCACCCGGACGCAGTGGAAGGGTCCTCACGGAGGCGGTCCTGCAATCGCAGGAAGAAATCATCAGGGGGATCGCGGGAATCAACAAGCGGCTGGACCGGCTCGTAAATGTCCTCGAGCATCTGGTGGAGAAAATAAATTAATTTGGCTCATTGAACTGTGTATTCACTTCTTACCCATTCACATTGTGGCGATGAGATTCTCCCGCGCGAGGACGGCGGCCCGGCAGGGATCAGCTCGCATCCCTCTGTCTGCTGCTGGTTCGTCATGTGGGGAGACGTGCTGTTCAGCCACGGGGATGTGGTGCAGGTCCACTGCGATGTGTGAACGCTTGTCACATAGTGAGTCACCAAACACCGCCACACAGCGTCGCCAAAGTGCCGTCAACGCAAGTATCGGCTCAACGCCAACTTCTACACCACCTCCTCACTTTGCGTGGATTTGCGCTGGAACCGACGCTCGTGTCGCGATGATAAATCTGGACGTTTGCGCCGATCTTGGCGAACGCAAGGTTTTCTGGCGCCGCCAGCGTTGATACATGAGGCCCCAGGTCTGCCGGACCAGTCAGGAACCGCTGGAGAAACTGCAGCCTAAACGCTGCAGTCCTGCTGGCCAGGTGGATGAGACCCTGCCCCCCCTCCTCTCTCTGTAAAAACAGCACCCCCAGTGGCACCCAGTGCATTTCATCCCAAAAAAACTGGATTACTTTTTCCTGAATTTTTGTAAGAAGTCCAGCTGGAGGATCCAGGCAGGACAGTCGGTGCCACAGGAGGGACGCAACCAGGTTGTTTAAAATCAACACTCTGCCTCTGTAGGACATGTGTGGTAGTTGCCCCTTCCACTTTTTAATTCTTTGTTCAATTTTTTCTTCTATTCCCTCCCAATTTTTATCTACCATTGCCTTGTCTCCAAGAAAGACCCCGAGGTATTTTAACCCCCCAGTCTTCCAGGCCAGGTTCTGGGGAAGAGTTGGGAGGCCACTTGCCCACTTCCCAACAGAAATTTTCCAATTCATTTTTGCGGCAGACAGGGTTTTATATTTGTCTGTTAAAGCGGTTAAAATATCAACATCGTTTTGAGTTTTTACTAAAACAATAACATCGTCTGCATAAGCAGATAAAACAGTGTTGCTATTAAAACCAGGTAAAATCAAGCCATTTATATTAGCGCGTATTTGAGAGAGGAGAGGTTCAAGGGAGAGTGCATAGAGCATCCCCGACAGGGCACAGCCCTGCCGGACACCCCTCTGCACCCTGAAGGGAGCACACAGACTGCCGTTTAATTTCAGTAGGCTCTCGATGTCTGTTAAACACACGGATCATGGCGATGAAACCTGGGCTGAACCCAAACCTCCTCATGACATTCCAGAGGAAGTTGTGTTCAACCCGGTCAAAAGCCTTCTCCTGATCTAGCGAAATGATTCCAGTGTCTAGACCCAATGAGCTGGAGACCTCCAAAACGTCCCGAATTAGGTAGACATTGTATAGACTTGCCGGGTACAGAGTAGGTCTGGTCCTGGTGGATGACATGCTCCATGGCTCTTCTTTTTTTTTCTCGTCTTTGAGAGGATTTTGTAATCCACACACAGAAGGGACACTGGGCGCCAGTTCCTGATTTCCAGAAGGTTGCCTTTTTTCGGAAGCAGAGTCACAACAGCTCTCTGACAGGAGAGGGGGAGGGAACCGCTGGCTAGACTCTCCCTCAGCACCTGGAGCAGGTCAGTGCCCAAAATGTCCCAGTATTCCTTGTAAAATTCAACTGTGAGTCCATCAATACCAGGTGATCTTCGCCCCTGCATGCTTTGCAGGGCAGCTTTGAGTTCTTCAAGCTGGAGAGGGCGACTTAGCTGGGCAGTGATGTCGGCCGACACCTTGGGCAGTGATCCACAGAAGTCCACCTCCAGCTCAACGTTTTCTTCATATTCCGACATGTAGAGGTCGGAAAAGAATTTTGTAGCTCTGCCCCTGATGTCCCGGGGCTCCGTCAGTTCCTACCCAGTGTCCTACAGCAGGCAGTGAATCTGTTTCCACTGACCTTGCTTCTTCTCCAGGCCAAAGAAGAAGCCAGAGGGAGCATCCATCTCTGTGATGTTCTGGACCCGGGCCCGGACCAGTGCCCCCTGTACCCTTGAGTCCAGCAGATTGGCTAATGCCATCTTTTTGGAGTTGAGGACTTCAATGTGTCCTCGATTTCCTGTGGAACAGCCAAGTGCCTCTAATTCCACTATTTCATTCTCCAAGTCCTGTATCTGTGTGTATAGTGGGTGACATTGAGAGTGTACCGTTGACATAATAATTTGATTTGTACTTTACCATGGTCCCACCACTGACTAAGACTACTAAAATCAGTTACCTGCCTCCTAAACCTACACCAGAAAAATTTTAAAACATCCTTAAAACCTTTATCTAAAATCAAAGCAGAATTAAAATGCCAATATGCACTCTTGGGTATAACATTTCTTAGTACTGTGTCACATAAAACCAGAGAGTGATCTGAGAAGCCAGATGGTACAATCCTACAGTCTTTAAAAACATTAAAATGGTGCTTAAAACAATAAAATCTGTCCAACCTTGCTAGAGAGACCCCGCGCTCCCTCAGGTGGGACCAGGTGTACTGACGACAGTCTGCATGCATCCTCCTCCACACATCCACCAGGTCATGAGAATGGACCAGCTGCTTCAGAGTATGCTGAGAAGCTGGATGTGGCTCTGCATGGTTGCGATCTAAAAACTCGTTCTCAGTACAATTAAAATCCCCCCTAAAAATAGGTAATCCTCCGAGCCGCAGCTATTTAATTTAGCATTTACAATTTCTAAAAACCTCTTCCTCTCTGCCCCATTGTTAGGTGCATAAATATTCATAAAAACCAGACTAAAACTTTCGAGCTTGGCTCTGACCAGCAGGCACCTCCCCTTCACCACCTGCTCTACCTCCACAGAGGATGGGGTGAAACTCCTTGAGAGGAGGATGCCCACTCCGCCACTCGCTGTGGTGTTGTGGCTTAAAACCACCCGCCCCTCCCATTCCTTCTCCCAGAAAACCTCCACACTCTGATCACTGTGGATCTCTTGAAGAAATAAAACATCAACCCGTTTGGTTTTTGCTGTGTCCAACACAAGTGCCCTTTTTTTCAGCTCTCTTGCTCCATTAGCGTTAAGTGTCCCAACTCTAAAAACACCCAAGTTTAAAATAGTAGAGTAAGAAACACAGACAATGAACATAAAACCAGACCACATCATAACTTCAGATATTAATTTGTTTCCTGACTTTAATCATGTGTTTCTGTAATCTAAATATCTCCTGTTCAGTCAGGTCGGTTGCAGCTTTGTGTTTTATTATGTGTTTCGCTGACAATAAAAACAAAGATTTATCTGCGAAATGCAGGTCTATGTTAAGTTTTTTGACTCCTTTTGTACTTTGCAGGAAACTTTTTATCATTTTTGCGCTGTAGAGCTCTTTTTCTTGATTATCAGAGTCCAAATGTGATGAGGCCTGTGAAAGGGAGAGGTCACTGCAGTCTGACATGGAGGTCTCGCTGTCACTGCTGTCTTCAGCAGCCGCTGAGGCCTCCAGTCGTCCAGCCTTCCTCGCCCCCTCAACAGACATTAAATGCTTTCTCTTGCTACGAGTGTTCATTGCCGTCCACCCCAATGCCACACTCACACCAGAAAACAGCTCACTCTCACTAATAGTTTTTTCAGTCACTCCACCTAGTGCTACACCTCCACCACCTGACACTCCTGCTGATCCCTCCGCTGAATCCCAACTCACTTCCTGTATCTCCTTCAATTCCCTCGAATTACTCTCCTCACCTGTCTCCCCCACTTCCCTCAGACCACTTACCTCACCTGTCTCCCTCACTTCCCCCAAGTTACTCACCTCACCTGTCTCCCTCACTTCCCCCAAGTTACTCACCTCACCTGTCTCCCTCACTTCCCCCAAATCACTTACCTCACCCTTCTTCCTCACTTCCCTTAAATCACTCACCTCACCCGTCTCCCTCATCTCAACTGACTCTCCCGTATCTCTCACCTCACCCTCCTCCATCTCTGCATCCTCGCCCACTCGACCTTCCCTCTGACTTGCGGTCTTCCCTGCATCGCCTGAGTGCCTCCGTCTCTGCGCGGATACGGGCCGTCCGTCCGCCGTGGCCAGCGGCGCGGGCGCAGAGCGCCCAGCCGGATCGGCAGATGCCGCGGCTCCCCCAGCCAGGGCGGGACACGCTCTAGCCAGGTGTCCCTCTACTCCGCAGCCGAAGCAACGGACATTGGAAGATGTGGCAAACAGAGTGTAATCGAAATCATCAAATCTCACGATGAACCGAAAATTGAACTCTTCAGCCTTGTTGTTTAATATCATGTAAACCTGCCGCCGATGCGACACCACATGGCGGAGCAGTGGAGATTTACAGCTCGAAAGTAACTTTCTTATTGGGGAGACTACTTTACCGTGGCGGGACAGTTTCTGGAGCAGGAACTCATCGCTGATGAAGGGGGGGGGACGTTGGAAAGTGTAATCCTGGCTGCCGGTTGTGTCAGCGGCTCCACCGCTTCGAAAAGTCCGTTCACTGTCAACCCGGTCTCCACCAGCGACTTTACCTGCTCTACCTTCTCCAGGAAGAGGACCACAGCTCGGTTCATCTGGGCTGCCAATTTGACCGAGCCGTGCCCGATCCAGCCAAAGCTACATCTTCCACACTACATGAGGAGCCGGCAGCCACCTTAATGCCGTGCTTCCTCGACAAGGAGGAGAACCCTGCGGCTGCCATGACGGCGCACAAGGTCTCCTCCTCCCGATCAGACGGCGTCTGACCGCACAAAAAAACAAAAAACAAAACAAACACTCAAAATAAACTAACTCACCCTAAAACAAAAATACCCTAACCCATTAAACAAATCACCAATGTGTAAAGAATAGAACAAAGTACAGGTAGAACAAATGTCTCCCAGTTTCTCTCTTCCACTCACACTCCTCTCACACAAAGAAGAAGCAGAAGAAAGAAGAAGAAGAAGAAGAAGAACTTTATTGATCCCTGAAGGGAAATTCAATTGTCCGTTGTCTCACGTAATATGTCTCTAAAACGTATCTATTATTTACATAAGAGTTATAAAGCCTGATGTCTGTTGGTACAAAAGATCTTCTTAATCTTTTTGTCCTGCAGTGAAGAGAGAGGAGCCGTCTACCACCATTTGCCCTTTGGTCCATCAAGGTATTGTGAAGTGGGTGATCCATGTTCTTGAGAATAGTCTCCACCTTCCTCAGTGTAGATCTCGCCACCGCATCCTCCACTGAGTCCAGCTTGAGTCCTACCACTGAGCCAGCCTTTTTCACCAGTTTGTTAAGACGTCTTGCATCTTTGTGTTTGATGCTTCCCCCCTCAGCAGACTGCAGCGTAGAACAGCACACTTGCCACCACAGACTGATAAAACATCTGCAGCATCTTACTACAGATGTCTACTGATCAGAGTCTTCTCAGGCAAAAGAGGCGGCTCTGCCCATTTCTGTAGATGTAGTCTATATTCTTAGACCAATCCAACTTATTATCCAGATGTACACCTAGGTATTTATATGATGTCACCACTTCGATGTCCACTCCACAGGTGTTCACTGGCTGAAGAGGGGGTTTGGATCTACCGAAGTCTATGACCATCTCCTTTGTCTTTAAGGTGTTGAGGAGTAGGCAGTTTTTGTGACTCCAGTCACTGAAGGCTCTTATTAGACCTCTGTACTCAGCTTCTTGTCCATTTCTGATACATGCCACAATAGCTGTGTCATCTGAGTATTTCTGGATGTGGCAGGACTCAGTACTGTATTTGAAGTCCGACGTGTACAGTGTGAACAGGAATGGCGCCAGCACTGTCCCTTGTGGAGCCCCTGTACCACTCATTAATGTCCCAGAAACACAGTTCCCCAGCCTGACAAACTGTGGCCTTCCTGTCAGGTTATCTGTGATCCAAGAAACACAGGAAGGACCCACTCCCATTTCTGTGAGCTTGTCTTTGAGTATGGTGGGTTGGATGGTGTTGAATGCACTTGAAAAGTTGAAGAACATGATCCTCACATAAACCCCAGGTTCCTCCAGATGAGACAGGGCATTGTGAAGCATGTAGAGGACAGCATCATCCACTCCAATGTGTTCTTTGTATGCAGACTGCAGAGAGTCCAATTTGTCTTTGACCTCAGACCTCAGAAGGCATAGAATCAGCCGCTCCAGGGTCTTCATGATGTGTGAAGTGAGGGCCACTGGTCTGTAGTCATTGAGTTCAGCAGGACATTTTGTTTTTGGTACTGGCACAATGCAGGATGTTTTCCACAGAGCAGGTATCCACCCCAGCTGTAGACTCAGGTTGAAGATCTTGTGGAGAGGTTGACACAGTTCTGCAGCACAGTCACTAAGTACCCTTGGACACACACCATCTGGACCAGCTGCCTTCCCAGGACAAAGTCTTCCAAGCTCTATCCTCACCCCTGTTTCAGTGACAGACAAGGACTGGTGTTCTAGGAGGGAGGCAGTTGAAGTGGTTGAGACATTTTAAAAAGATGGAGGAGGAAGGGGAGAAGTTGTAGTGGAGATTTGTTGCGGAGAGGAAGGTGGAGTAGCAGTGGAAGTGGAAGTGACAGCAGTGTCAAATCTGTTGAAGAACAGGTTAAGTTCATCAGCTCTTTTCACATCACCCACCACTGGCTGTCTTTTCTTTTTACTGCTGTGTCCAGAGATAGTACTGATTCCTCTCCACACTTCACGGATGTTGCTGTGTTGTAGACTATTCTCTATCTTCTTTTTGTACTCCAGCTTTGCCATCTTCAGTCTCCTCTTCAACTCTTGTTGCACTTGTTTGAGTTGTTCTTTGTCACCATCTTTAAAAGCTTTCTTTTCCGCTTAGGGATTGCTTTTATGTCTCTTTTGATCCAGGGTTTGTTGTTGGGGAAACAGTGAACAGTTTTTGTCGGTATAACAGTGTCTCTACAGAAGTTGACATAATCAGTAAAGCAGTCAACCTGTTCATCAATGTTCATACTATCCACATCTGTTTCCAGCAGCACATTCCAGTCTGTTGATTTAAAACAGTCTCTTAGAGCTTCACTGGCTTGAGGTGTCCATCTTCTTATTTTGACTTTGGTCACAGGCTGCCTCAGCACACAAAATCTGTAACAGGTTTCTAGATAGACCAAGTTATGATCTGACTTGCCCAGTGGTCGTGAGGCAGTGGCTCTGTAGGCCTCTCTGACGTTGGCATACAGCAGATCCAGGGTCTTGTTTTCTCTGGTAGGACAGTTCACAAACTGTGTGAATCCAGTCAGGTGAGAGGAGAGGGTGACATGGTTTAAGTCTCCCGATATTATTATTAATGCCTCAGGGTGTTGAGTCTGTAGCCTGGCAACACTATTTTGCAAAACATCGCAACATTCTTCAGTTGATTTGGGTGGAATGTAAACAACTACTGTTATGATATGACTACATTCTCTGGGAACATAATGTGGCCGAAGAGCAACTGCCAACAGTTCAATATCTGGACAACACAACTTCTCCTTGACAATTATATGTGAAGGGTTACACCATCTCTGGTTGACAAATAAAGCCAGACCTCCTCCTTTCTTCTTGCCACTAGCTTGAGCATCTCTGTCTGACCTCTTGAGAGTGAAGCCAGGTAGATCCACACTGGAGTCCGAGTTGTTTTAATTCAACCAGGTTTCAGTAAAACACAGGAAAATGCACTCATGGTATGCTTTCTCAGTCTTCACCAAGATCTCCAGCTCATCGCTTTTGTTGGGCAGAGAGTTGACGTTACCCATGATGATTGATGGAAGAAAGGGTTTATATCGCCACCTCCTAGCATTCAGCTTTGCCTTCACCTTTGCACCAGCACGGCAACCACGATAACACCTCCTGATGTCCTCTGGAATTGTATGTTTTGAGCTCTTCTCTTGATTAAACTCTTCGCCCAGCAGAAGTATCCATCAGCAGCCAACAAATGACACAAAAATATGAAAAAAATCTACCATAAATTTAAAAAATTACAGATAATACAGAGAGATCAGACTTGCAGCAACCTCTCAGTTCAAGCGCATCATTTGAATGTTACTCATGAACACTCATGACTTCATGACTCAAAGCTAGAAAGGTGACTTTTTCACACACAGCAAACTGAGATCTTCTGAGAAAGAAGACTTGCCAAAAATCCTTGCCATAGACACAAACCAACGGCGAGAAAGAAGTGGCAGAGAAGAAATTCATTTTTAAAATGAGAGCAGAACGGGGATAGGCTGGCTTTGAGCATGTGCCACCATGCTATTGGATAGGGAAATACACCAGTTAGTTCTTTAATACACCTTGTGGTGCAACCTGGACACATCATCAGTGATTCTCCTAGGCTCATGGGGTGTTTCAGGTCTTAATCAGACACCCTCACCTAGGCGACCCATTTCAGCCGCTTCTAAGATGTTCTTGATGGCTCTTCGCCTGTGCAGTCCACAAATCCCAAGGAGCCCCAGGACCCGGTGTAAGGACTTGCCTGCAAAGCCCCTGCAGCCCACCTCAATAGACTCGAAGCGGGCCTTCCACCCATTCCTCCGGCATTCAACCACAAGATCGGCATACTTCGCCCTCTTCCTCTCCTGAGCTTCCTCCATTCTGTCCTCCCAGGGGACAGTTAGCTCAAGGAGCACCACTTGCTTACGGGCTCCGGACATCAGGACCAGGTCTGGCCGGAGTGATGTAACTGCAATGGTGTCCGGGAATCGCAACTGCCTCCCTAGGTCCACCAGGAGCTGCCAGTCCCTTGCTGTTGTGAGCAGGCCCCCCTGGGTCTTCTTCAGTGGCGATTGCTCTAAGACTGCAAGGGAAGCTCAGCTTCCCTTAAAATGTCACCCCCCCAAAAAAAAGAAAAAGTGGTGAAATACATACTGCTGTGTGTACATTTCATTAACTAAATACGCGCTAGAAA